AACCAATCTGTGATACTATGATTAAAGACAGAGCTTAGCATTATGGAAGATGTAAGGAGAAAGGCGGCCAGAAGGACAGCAGTGAAACGTGACGTCTGGATAAGAAAACAAAAGCAGAAAGAAGTAACTGTGCGCTGTCTTGATTCTCCTAAGAAACCGAGTTCACATTTCGATCGTTGCTATTAAACATCCCCCATCTCCACCTGCACCACACTAAGTTTCCAAAGGAACGAAGTATCAATTGCCAAAGCAGCATTTTATTTAAAGATCAGATTGTTCCTCCAGGATATCACAGACCCGGCCATCCAAAGAAAATGTGCCTGTTTTAATTTGAGTGAAAAGTGTCCAAGATTTGTGCTCACATTTATGACTGTGTATTCTCCACAGGACTGTGAGCAAACCATTAATGATGTTCAAGTAATAAAATATTAATTGCTATTTCCTTACTAATATTTAGCTCCTATACACAACTTTGTTTTCCCAAGTGCTGTGTGAAACGTTACTTGACTGAACAAAAACACGTAGTAAACATGAACTGGAAAACAAATAAGCTAAAGACCTCAGACAGGAGACTGAGACGGCTCTCGTACCAGTTACTAGCAACACTGACTCCACAAAAACAAGATGTAGCAGATGAGATGAATTGTATCTGATGAATATTTCAAGAGGGAAGAATTCATGGATACTGACATTTAAAGGAAACCCCCCCCCGAACTCACTTAGGAATTAATCTAACTGGAAGAAATTACATTTCCTCATCTCAGAGAGCAAAAGTTTCAATATTTTACTGTGCTTTGTTACCTTGGGTTCTACGTTAACTGACATAGTTATTTAATTAGAGAGGTAATGAAGTAGCTAGTCAAATGTAACTTACAAAAAATACATACTCATGTTTCTACAAGATTTTAGAAAACAACTCTAAATTCATCCAATTTGATTACTTTCTCAGAAAACTTCTATCCCCTAACATCAGACACTAAAAATCCAGTGTGACCAACTTAAGAATTGCAGCATTATGAGAAAACTTTGAAGAGAACAGACAGTATTTATAACTGCCAGTAAGTAACCGCCAAGACTGCTTTTGTACGATCTGAGGCATCTGTTTGTCCTAAAACAGTTTCAGGAAGTACCTATATAGAAGAATGAAGAAAGAGGAGGTTCACTTTATGCTAAGGCCAGCTCTACCTCTACAGAAGACCAGTGTAACATACTAGAGGGTATTTCATATTATAATTCCTATTTATTTCACATGTCAAAAACCCCTAAATGTTGAAATAAGCTGCATTTAAAACAATGATTCTCAGAGCGAAAGGTGGATTTATTCTTAGAACTTGTATTAGCTTTCTAATAAAATGCTTAAACACTTATTTTCCATCAAAGACTAAGAAAATTGTTCCAACTAACACAACCACAGTGTTAGCTGCAGGTGAGGCATGACAAACAAATTCAAGTTAATTCATAACAAGCTGGGCATAATTGGTTTAGACCCGTCAGCAAGAGGGGAAAAAAATAAAATAAATATTCAGTTGCTCCAATTTCTACCTGCATTTCCTTGTGTGTTTTGAACAACTTCTGGAAGGGAGTTTTCAGTCCTTAGCAGTGAATCATAGAATCACAGAATGGTTTGGGTTGGAAGGGACCTTAAAGATCATCTAGTCCCAACCCCCTGCCATGGGCAGGGACACCTTCCACTAGACCAGGTTGCTCCAAGCCTCATCCAGCCTGGCCACTTCCAGGGATGAGGCATCCACAGCTTCTCTGGGCAACCTGTCCCAGTGCCTCCCCACCATCTGCGGGAAGAATTCCTTCCTGATGTCCCATCTCAATCTCCCTCTTTCAGTTTAAACCCATTACCCCTTGTCCTGTCACTCCCTGTCCTTGTAAAAACTCCCCCCCACCTTTCTTGTCAGCCCCTCCAGGCACTGGAAGGTGCTGTAAGGTCTCCCCGGAGCCTTCTCTTCCCCAAGCTGAACAACCTCAACTCTCCCAGCCTGCCTCCATAGCAGAGGGGCTCCAGCTCCACCGTGAGCATTTCTAAACCACTCCTACTATCCAAGGATCTTCCAGGTTATTTATTTTGTCAACCAGACAAGTAAACTTAATTAAAATCATGTCAGACAAAATAAGAGGTTACCACCTTCCTAAAGGTAAAAATTCCATTATAAAACATACATTCACCAAAGCATGACAAGTGTAGC